AACAAATCAGGAAAATTATAAAGAATAAAAATTAATTAAACCGCCCACAACCCTTCATGAAGGTGGGCTCAAGCCCGTCCCCGCCTTCAGTAAACCCACTGGGGCCTCTGCCCCTCTTCCTCCAAGCCCAGCTCCTGCTTTATATCATTACGGAGTATTTGATTTTTTTCAATTCAAGTATTTTATGGCTTAAATAAATTCAGGTTACCTTCTTTCTTTTCTGTTGGTGCACGAGTGATTTTTATATTAAAATATCAATGACGCATTTAAGTATGCGGTTACCCGCATTTATTATACCCATTATGGTTGGGGCCGGGGCAGAGAATTTACCGAGCGGGTGTGTACGTAGTCAGGAGTATAAATTAAACTGGGCCGGTACAAAAAAAAGAAGTCAAATAAATTTTCACAAAAAAATTATGCCCATATATTCCATTCTTTGTTTAAATTTGGGGTGGATCATGGCCCCCATCTCTAGGTGAACCTCTACATGCTAATACATTGTGCTCAAATAGACTGTGTTAACATTTTTCTTAAATACGTAGATGTTTTGTTAAAAAAACTTATACCTTGGCTTTAGTAGCAATTCTAAGCAAAACTTGTTACTTGTTTCCCCCTGAACTTGCTTAATGCTAACATGAAAATCTTCCACTCCTTGATTAGAAAAAAATGATATGATGGACTTTGAGTTGCAATGAATCATGAAGTATGTGTTTTTATTTAATCTTTTTTTAGTCAGATGAGCTTAATGAGCTCTAGTATGGAATTAAGATTTGATATTTCATTCCAAATTATTAATATGACAGGAGTTGTCAATTTACCTAAATGTTGGTTTGTATCCTTATCTTTGCTTATTGGAAGAATTTCTTGTAGGAATGTATTATTTATAAATAGTCACAAGTTATTGTTGATATATCTGCAGGGCGAGCTTTCTGATCACAGAAACATTACTTATTGTTGGTTCTAAGAAAAGTGGTTTTCACACCAAGCATCAAGGGATGGTACATGCGAGAAACTTTTCTTGTGAAACACTTCGCAAAGGTGTATTCATATTTGGAGCTATCTGGGTGATCCTAACCATGATTCTTAATGTGTATTACTACATGTACTTCTCCAGGGCTACTACTTCTCAACCAGCCCCATCTAAACCAAATTTACCCATGTCTGAACTGAGAAAGTGAGACCATAGTCATGCTGGCCTAACTTACCATCACTATAGTGAGACCATTGAACAGAATAGTTTTGACTTTTTGGTCTTGCTTTGTTGATGTGGTAGTAATGTAGTATAGTGATTCTTGCCGAAAAATCTTGTAAGTTCTAATACCATATGGAATCACTCACATTGATGCTTTGTGACATATTTTGTGTGTACTTTAGCATCGTTTGCATATGGCTCTACCAGAGAGAACAGTTTTGCATATATCATCATCATCAATAATACTGGACACTTGTTAAAAAGTTCATAAAAATATCTTTTCAATTAATTGTACTAAACATGCCCTATGCAGCTATGCTTCAAGCCTTCAATGCCTCGTGCATCAGTGTTATACTACGTATTTATTCATAGTCTTAAAGCAATAAAAGTGAATTCCCAAATAATTGAACTATTGAACTAATTGAAGTATATCGCTCGCAATTATGATGCCGCTGTTTTTTTAGGAAGATACCACTGTTGAAAAATGAGAACTAATGAAGTAATTAAACAGGTTCGGAACGTGCTTTTTTCAAAATATGAAAATCATATTTTGACTTAATGGACAAATGTTGAAGTTTGAACTATATAGATGGTGTAAATAAGCACACACGAATGGTAAGATTTTAAGTAGCAAAATGAAAATTCCCTTGTGTAACACGGTTACACGGTTCTCACTTCCCCAAAATGAAATGTGTACTCCGTAAGTCCGTAGCATTTACCAAATTACAAAAGTATGCTAAAATTTAGGGGTGGGTGCGGTCCGGAACTGTCCAGTAAATTAGCAAAACCCGTAATGTATCCGTGAGGTTTCTAACGGTTCTGTACGGTACGTTTCTAAGGATAGAATCATTCGGTATCATGTCGTTTCGGAACGGTACAAAACGGTTTGGTACACTGTCAAACACATGCCAAAACATTTGAACAAATTTTGCAATTAGTAGATATCATCACACGGTCCAATTGGCGTGAAATTTTGATAAAAATACAAGAAAATGCATACTAAATATTAGAAAAGATTCAAGAGGTTGACATTTTTGTATTTAAATTTAAAAAGACTCACAATGGAAGAAATTTAGTAAAAATATAGCAAAATGCAATATACAATCGTATAATATCATCTTTATTAAATTCACGAGAACATACAAAAAGAATATCGTTAAATTATTTAACAGAATGCAAATATTTAATGTTCTTTTTCTTTGTTCTAAGTTGAATATTAATTCTAATATAGTTCATAGTTGAATTGTAAGAGCTATGATTCAAACTGTATTAATTAAGTTATAAAACTACACGAATATGATACGACAAAAGTCATATACACTACATTACTACAAATTAATAGTCATTAATGTTTTTTAACTTGGCATTCTTTCATTATATATCAAATATAACATAAATTAATTATCTAAAAGGAAAAAAATAAGAATATTTATATAACACACACTTAGCTATTTTAGGGATGCATGAATACATACTAGGGTTATAAAGTACGTTGTTGGTCTATAAAAGAAAGGAAAAATAAAAAAAATCTCAAAAACATTATTTTTAAAAGGTTCGGTCCGGTATTTTTCGGTTCTCAAAATCCAGAACCGGTCCCGTACTCATTTGAAATGGTACGGTTTCGGTTCGGGATAAAATTTTATGGAACAATTTAAATACCCGATATTCGGTTCGGTACCATTACGGACCGGTTCGGTACCGGTTCGGTGCGGTTTTTATGCCCACCCCTACTAAAATTAGAAAGAACTTGACGATGGCCACATTCTTCGGGATTCTCAACTCTCAAGGGTAAATGAAGAGTTTATTGCAAGAATACTTCTAGTATATGTTAAATAGATTTTCATATGGGTGTATAGTTTTTTAAGCACATTGGGTGTATAATTAAGATTTTTAGTGCAGAATATATTAAAACAGAGCCCCATTTGAGTCAGGAGCTCTTGTCTGGAACCGCCGTGCAAAATTCACTGTTTGTGGTGAATTTTTTGATGATTTTTTTAGCATGTTCTTCACCAAGTCTAATTTATTCCCATCATATTCAGCTAACAATTCCCGACTCGCTCTAATTTATCTTACGCTGATTGATGACATTAAAACATTTAACATTCTTCCGGTCACTAGAAAAAAGATTCACTTCTCACAAAAAATAAATTAATAGTTGATTATCATTTATAATATCACATAAAATATCGAAAGAAAACTAAATGAGTCGATGGTACAAATGTTGTAAAATTTACAATTTTATTCAAATGAATCATATAAATATATAAACGTCATTTGCTATTGTTATCGCCAAACATCTTTTCATACAAGTAAAATACATTATATAACAAATACAAATATGTCGTTTTAGCTACTTTTATCATAATGAATGTATGAAATGTTTAAAAGTTAAAATGATATTTGCTAAACATGTATTAATCATATCTAAACTATTTATTTATATCCTAAAGATGAAAAGTAAAGATAAATACAAAGTATTTTTTTTATATATTTTACAAGTTGTTCGGTGTTGGGCTCGATTTACAGTGTTTGGGTTTTAAACAAAATCAAACCATATCATTCGGTTCAAACCATACAGTTTACTTAAGTAACCTCAAACCAAACCAAACAATCAATTTTCGATTTAGTTTAGTTCGGTTAAATCAAACCATTTTGCCTAGCCCTCTCTATTTAGTAATGACTTAAGTCATACCAAACATAAAAAAACATGTAGTCATATTCTAGGAAAATTAATGCGTTTTAGTAATATTAGTGTATGTTTCACTAGTTTCTCCTTGAGGGAGTATAATGTAATTTTAGTCAATGTCTTAAATAATAATGCATGCTTGTTATTAATTGAACTCTTTTCAGTATCCAAATCAAACTCGATTAGAATTAAACAGATCCGATCATATATAAATAGACCAGATCAAATTTAGACAATTATAAATGGGTAACAAATTAGATTTAAATAAATGGAACAAAGAGAAACTTTACTCCAATTAAAAAACATTCTAATTATTCGTCAAAACTCAAAAGACCGGAAACCAGTTTGTATACCGTATAACCGGCGCACAATGACCATCATGCTCCCAGGGGTAAATACGGATGAACAGTACCCGCGGATGAACAATAACTTTTTTTGTGTGTTTCAGTAGCATGGTGATGTAACTCTCGTTTACAAAAATGTAACTCACGTTGATAGGAAATGTAACTTGAGCCAAGTTGATATGTAAGTTGTCTAAACATAATATAAGAAGTAAAACATTGATTTCAATATAAATAATGAAAAGAAGAATTCTAATTATCCAATTATTTTACATGAATATTGTACATGTTTTGTTTTTAATATCAGATCTATAAAAATATTTTTTTATGAAAATAATTTTTCTTTAAATAGCAGAGCTTATTGTGTTGTGTAACTCGCATTATACTATGATGTAACTCGCATTACGAAAAATGTAAATTACATGTAAGCGAGATGTAACTTGATGAAGAAAGTTAACATGTAACTCGTGAATAATAAGATGTAACTTCATATATTATTAAATGTAACTCCAGTATTAAATTTAAACAATATTAATAACATCATTAATACACAAAAAGTATATGATCATTTGAATGTATAGCTTGGCCGTATACATTCTGGATTTCAATTGTCAGGTCTCAGATCAAGAAGCTTCAAAAATTGAAAAGTACGATCTTTCTAAAAATTAAAAACACAGAATTAAAGAACATAACTTTTGTTAGTCGGTGGAAGCAAAGTTAAATTAACCGACATATATATCGATTCACTATAGAGGAGGGGATAAAGTAACCGAATTAGAAAGTAGGAACCTCTTGAACTTTCGTTTCAATCCCTATAGCAGACGCGGAGGAGATAAAGGAGAAGAAGGGTGTATGCTAAGCTATAGCGGACGATGATCCAGGAGGATAACTAGCTTGGCGGAGAAGAAAAGATGATTGTTTTTAATTAATGGAACGGCACCGTATTGGCACCGGCATACCATGCACATTCGGAACTAGTTCTCAAACAAAAAAAAATACTAGTAACTGTTAATTTGTAGGAAATTTCCATTTTTTCTTCTCCGTCGCTGGTCTTCCAACAATTCTACTGACAAATTCGGAATCCTGAAGCCGTGGAATCACTCCTCCGCGCAGTCGAAGAGGCCACGCTCTGCACCGCCGCCAAATCAGTCTCTGCCTCCATCACGAACTGCTGGCTCGCGCATGCCGTTTCACCACTATCGCCGGCCACGATCCCTATTACTATGTGGGTATTGCACACTTTGCCGGACTGCCTCTAGTTTACTGCGTGTAAGAAGTGGTCTTGATGCTTTTATTAATGTGGGCATGAAATTGTAGGAATATTGTGATGTGTCAATAATTCAAAAAAAAAAAAAGAACCCTAATTTATATTGTTGTAGAAGTATTGAAAATTTTGGATGCAACTCCATGATGAAGCCTCTGGCTCTACCGATCTTACTCTTCGTCCTGCTCTTCCCCTCTCAACTGTATGTTTACTCCATTCAAATCCTATCGAAATCAAAGCTCCAAAAATGTGAGAAAGTCGCTGATTCAGACCAACAACTCAATTGTACCAACAAGATCGTGATCAACCTAGCCGTTCCCAGCGAATCTGTAAGTGTAATCCTACCTCCTTCCTTAATGTATGAAAGTTAGTGCTTAGAAAACGCTAATATATGTGCCTTTTGATAACCGGAGCAGAGTGGAAATGAGGCTTCGATGGTGGCCGAGATAGTGGAAGTGGAAGAGAACGCGACCAACATGAGGACGCTTAGGGTTCCTCCGTCTGTGACTGTCCAAAAATCTGCTGCGTTTGCTTTGTATGAATTGACATACATAAGAGTATGTTAGACTTGCATCTATGGTTTAATTAAACTAGTTCATCCTCCATATGACAGTACAATGGGAAATGGTACATATTCTAACACTTTCTGATATGAAACCTAACCTGTTGTCAAGGATGTTGCTTACAAACCACAAGAGCTGTATGTTAAGACAAGGAAGTGTAAGAGTAATGCTGGGGCAGATGTTGTCCAGATATGTGAAAGGCAAGTTATGTTTATCTCAATTACATAAACTGAGTACATTTACTAAATCACCCTTTGGCTATTTTGTCTAAAATTTTGATTTTTATATACTATATATAACTTCTTGATCAGCGTAGGTTGAAAGACGAGAAGGGGAACACTATAGACCACACTCAGGTAGATGAGGGTTTCAACCTTTTGTTCTCCATAACGAGTTATCTGAAACATCAAGAGTTACATGTTGCATCTCTTGTTCATTAAATTGTTATGCTGGTGCTCATCCATAATTCCATTCATTTAGTTCTACAGAAACCAAGAAAAAAGAAACACACCTTAACAAGCCAACTCAAGCTAGTATTTCACATACTCTTCATTAGTTAATATGCAGTTATGCTCTAATCATAAAAGTTAGTATTAAGTATCATCAATGCAGTTAAATTACATGCTTCTTACTGTATGGAACACTTCATTTGACAAATACAGTTACTGGCAAAGATATCCTAGTCTGACTTCTTAGTGCTTGCCTTATCTGAACTTGGCTTTACATAACTTCATCATCTAGTAGTGCTGGTAGATTGCCATGAACAACAATTTTAAAAAGGAAAAATTGACAAGAATAATCCCACCTTTCACTGATCTTCTCATAATAATCCCACCTTTACGTAATCCAAGAATAATCCCACCTTTGCACCTCATCTTCTTTCATTGGACCCTGACCTATTGATGACCTACAAAGGTGGGATTATTTATATAAGATTTAAAAAAAAGGTCCAATGAAAGAAGATATGGTGCAAAGGTGGGATTATTCTGGGATTATGTAAAGTTGGGATTATTATGAGAAGACCATTGAAAGGTGGGATTATTCTTATCAATTTTTCCTTTTAAAAATGAAACAAGAGTTTGTAGTGAATTTATTATTGCAAATTACTTATGTATTTTTCTTGTTAACCTTGTTCGATACAGCCTACCTGTTGCCCTTGTGGTGGTCAGCGCAGGGTTCCTTCATCATGTGGAAACTTTTGTAAGTTTATGATAACAATTCTTCTTAAGGAAATAAAAATGCTGCCAATTGTTGTACAACAATACATTGACTTGTTCTATGTATATCATTTTTCTTGTGTGAATCAGTTGACAAGATGATGAAAGGGAAGGCAAACACTGCTCATTGTCTTCGATTTCCAGGTGATTGGTAAGGGGTTTGGGTTTCCTGATTTAGATTGTATGCAGATGGCTATAGTAACAATACATGTTTTAATAGAAAAAAATTGTTCACAATAAGACTAAAAGCATAACAGTATAAGCCTTTTTTGCAAATGGGATTGCCGTTGGTTCACGCTAAAACTAGGAGTCGTTCACTCATAAAAAAAGAATAGAAGTAATAATTCTTTCACTAGGAGTGAATTAGTCAAATTTTCAGGATAAATGAAATAATATTATTTTAGAAATTCATTGTCTTCTACTCCTACTTATGAATTTCTTCCGATTTTTTATATGTAAATGTTTTACCTTATACAGATGAGATTGTGGAAGGAAATTCTGTTTCTCATATTCATCTTTCGGTGTGTGGAGGCGTGGCAATAATTCATTTAGAAAAGCAAAATGTTAATGTGTGGTTTTCTTTTTTCTCGTAGGTTCCATGTGTTTGGCATTGGGCATCGCTCAGTTGGATTTAGTATTAGAATTGAAGTCAAGACGAAATCTCAAGTTTCAGTATGTATCTCAATTTTCGAAAAATCTTATGTGGTATACTGCTATCATATAAAAATCACCAAACTTGTGTGCATCATCCCAAAACCACCGTTGTTGTAGAATCCAGCAATTTGCTTGCCAGCATCTCCCCTGATTAGTCTTCCACCATTCTTAATATTCTCGGCACCTTTAGTGTTTACTTTTTTTCCTTTTTTATTGGAACAGGAAGTGACTGTTGGACCTGGCAATAGGACAGCTGCCTCTGTTGATAAGTTTTTAAGAGTGAATCTTGTTGGAGACTATGTTGGATATTCAGATATTCCATCTTTTGAGGATTACTACCTTGTTATCCCTAGACAGGTATATCTCTTTTCTGATTAATAAAATGAAACTCACTTTGAACTTTGTACATATTATATATATATATATATATATAATTATATATATATATATATATATATATATATAGGATAGTATATATAGTACTCTATGGAATCACTAGTTCAACACTTAGAATAACTTATATAATTTAGTCATCTATGTTATTCCTTTGAATTTCCCTTTTGTCAAAGGGGGGTGCTCCAGGTCAACCAGAAAATCTGGGGAGCAATTACTCCATGTGGATGCTGCTTGAAAGAGTGAGGTTCACTCTGGATGGTCTTGAATGTAACAAAATTGGTGTTGGTTTTGAGGCCTTTAACTCACAGCCTGATTTTTGCTCAGCTCCATATTGGAGTTGCTTGCACAACCAACTATGGAACTTTTGGGATGTAAGTGTACATATCATACTTCCCCTACACCAATCTTGAATCAAACCCGCCCCATGCTGCCATGATTGCATTTAACATTGTTGCATCTATCAGGCAGATCAGAATCGAATCAGCAGAAATCAGGTGCCACTGTACTGTGTTCAAGGAAGGTTTGAGAGGATCAACCAACATCCAGTTATGGCTTATAGTTTTTCATTTTTCTCTAGTTAGAACAATGTCTTTCTCTTGAAAGCATTGTATTAATACTAATAATAACAAATACCACTTATTATTTCAGAATGCTGGAAGTCATGCATTTTCCATAGGAATCACTGAAGTTCTCAATACCAATCTCTTGATTGAACTGAGTGCTGATGATATAGAGTACGTCTATCAAAGGTTAGTTGTGCACTTCTGTGTTAGGAAGACCTTTTCTTTCTTTTATATAATTTGAAAGTTAGTTTGGAGGACTGTGTTGGGTATTTCCTGGCCATAAATATATTTTTCCAGGAGCCCAGGGAAAATTTTGGACATCACTGCTCCAACATTTGAAGCTCTTACTCAATCAGGGACAGCAACAATCACAACTAAAAATATTGGAGAAGTAGAAGCGTCCTACAGTCTGACGGTAAACGAGTAGTTTAAGAGCCTCTTTGGGATGACTTGCCCTACCTTATAAGTATAACAAAGTACTTTATGTTAAGGCTGGTAGAAGACCAATTTTGAATGTATGAATTTCATAAAGTGAGAGTATTTTGCTATCCAACTAATTTTATTTATTTATTTTAAAACAATTGCAGTTTGATTGCTCAGGCGGTGTCAGCCAAATGGAGGTTTCAAATTTGTTTGAATCATCTGACTTAAATTTGTTAGCATCCACCAATATAGTTACATGATTTATAAGGAACACGTTCTTTTTATTGCAGGAACAGTTCTACATAATGAAGCCAAATGAAGTTGTTACTCGAGCATTCAAGTTGAACCCATCAAGTGATCAAGCAGCAAATTATCTATGTTCTGGTACTAGTTATACAAGTCAGTTAGTCATCTTTTATTGAATCACTGAGTCCTTGATTCCAATGGATATATACATATATCTATGCAGCAATACTTAAAGGCTCTGATTTTAGTGAAGTTGATCGAGCTGAGTGTCAGTTCTCAACAACTGCCACAACATTAGATAACGGAACACAGGTTTTAAATTCATATTTAGATATTGACATTTCTTATACACCATAGTATTTATCACCTATTATGAGAATCTTTTTGTACTATTAACTGCAGATACCATTCCAACCCCCCAAGACAGGCCTACATGGTTTCTTTGAAACACTCAAAGAACTATGGCACAAGTTGTTGGAAGGTTTGACAGATTTTTTTACAGGAGAAAACTGCAGGTACTTGGCATCGGTTCACAGTTTATGCATAACACAATCGTATTTCAATAGAGTTACACAATTTTAACCCTGAAATCTGATTTTGCTTTATCTTCGGTTGCCTGAACAGAACGAAATGCTCTGGGTTTTTCGATTTGAGCTGTCATGTTCAGTACATATGTTTGAACTGGATAGTGTTGGTTGCTCTACTGGTGGCCATTTTCCCAACTCGTATGCTGCTTGATTAGTATTCACTTTTACTTATTTATTTAAGTTTGGAAGCCACATATTAATAAACATTTTATGCGATGTGAAATGGCAGTGATGGTTTTAATATGGCTTCTTCATCAGAAAGGAGTGTTTGATCCTATATATGACTGGTGGGAAGATCACATTTCACCACTTTCTCCTCCTCCTCCTCATCATCACAATCAACAAGTGTACTTAAAGAGAAGACATGATCCCCATCACCACCACCATAAGCATCATCATCATCATTACCGAGGAGGGAGAATGACTAGGCATCCAACAGAAACTGGCGAGGCAGATTACCACTATTTTCTTCATCATGTTCACAAGGACAAAGACAAACACAGCAGAGCCACCAAAAGTTCATTAATGGCTGCAGAGATGATGGTCGAGAAGCAAGCTCATGGTGCGAGTGATCTGAATAAGAATGGTGGTACACTTGTTGCTCCTGCCATTCATCATCATCATCGTCATAGACGTCGATCATCATCGTCAAACAGGATACTACATGGAGAAAGAATAATGTTGGATGGACACCACCATAAAAGGAGCATTGCTGCTATACATGATCATCATAAGAAGCACCGCCAGAAGCTGATGGAATAAAAAACAGCATTGCTTCTAGCCTTCACATATTTCAAGGATGTTCCACCTAGCTACTATGGTACTTGTAGAGTTGTAGTAGCTTGTCTTTTTGTAAATAGACAAGGGATCTGATTTATGAACAAAGCGAACTAGTTTATTGAAGTATATCTCGCTAAATTGGCCAATTAGGCTGCAAGGCCAAAGGCTTTGAAAAAATTAATTATTTTATTATAATTAGCCTATTTAGCAATATATATTTAATGTAATTCCAGTCACCGTCTATTTAACTCAATTCTCTTGATACTATTATGTTCACTCTCATTGAAGCAAATACGATTTGAATGACAACTTTTGAAGCTATTCAAGATCAATGCGAATGAATATGTTCCTTAACAATCAACATTTTACAAGTTGTCACCCTATCTACAATAGAATTTATAGTCCTGAAACTTTTAAACAGATCTCTCCAAAAACATGGAATCAAACAAAGTGATTACCATATACTCCGTACATAATAGCAATCAAAGTTTGTTCACTTGAGTAAGAACCAACATGTACTGTACAAAATGTATTTATGTTCACCATCATTGAACTCAAAAGACAATTGACTGACAACTTTTAAAGCTAGTTAAGATCATTGCGAAGCAGAAATTAGTAGGCATGGTGATACACATTATCCATAGTATAAGCTAGAATTATGCACAAATATTGGGATGCTTGTTTTAATTATGTTCGGAGAGGAGAGGTGAAGAACTCAACTTCAAATATATCTTGATACAATCAATTGAAGAATTCAATTCAAATTTGATCATCATTGTTCAACAAGCTCAAACTTTCATACTTTTATAGCCACATGTGAGTTGTTGGCAGCACTAGGGTTCGCCAACAGGACATTCGTACATTGAAAAAAATGAAATAGTTGTTCAAAGGGACTTTAGCTCTATAATAGCTCCATTTGGTATGCAAAGCACAACAAGAGAATTTATGTGTTAATGACTTAATGCCAAGTGAAGGAGAAGGCAATCTACTGATCTAGGATAAATTGTGACTTTACTTTTGAGAGCTTTTCAAGAACTTGTAAGAATATCTCGTATTCTATTCAATCTTGATAGTAATAAAACTATTTTTCCCTCAAATATTTACTTCAGTTATGATCACGTAACCCCCAAGATGTTATGTGGAAATGTTGATTCGAAAAAGTAAAATGAACATTTTACACTATGTACTAAGTTAATTGGGTGATCATTGTTCTTTCAGGACTCTTGCAATGACTTCAATGGTAGAGGGTGTGGTTCGACAACAGCCACCTATGAGATTAGCTCCAGCTTCACGCCATAGTGGGGCGAATTCTCCAAACTTTTCATCGTCAAAACATTTTGAATGCTGTATACACCAGACAAAAATAAAATAAAAGAGAATCAGGCTTATAGCATTGGCAGAAAGGAATTGATAATACTGAAAGATGAATTTGCAATTAACTAATAAGATTTGTCTGTTGGGAGTTATAACTAACACTAACCAGCCATTGTTTTTCGATGCCGTCCCATGTCTCCCCACTGTTGGGATAAACAACTATTGCCTTTCCAGTCATCTGCAGCATTACCATTACATTAGTAATAGATCTTTTTTTTTCCCTTCTTGAATGAAAGCATTGAGGAAAACAACATTTGATTCAAAAGCAAAATATTAATTTTCAAAATTTGTTCAAATTCATTTGTATCTTTTCATTTGTATTATATAAATATTAAACAATCGTAATATACGTACAAAACATTAATCATCTTTGATTATATTTTGGTCCTGAGGTAAATCAAACATAAGAAAATAATTGCCCTGAGAATTTTCTTATCTTCCACAGGTATTTCCGGGATTCAAACATAGCCTTCATTAGTTCAAAAATCCAAAACAAAGAGGCACATAAATTCTTAGTTTCTTACTACCTGCTTAAATTTCTGGATGAGAGTGAGAATAAACTGAGGAGGGCAACAGTTTATACCAACCGCTGCAACTCTGTTACATGGGTTAATAACCTCAAGGCACTCCATTAAGCTCTCCCCAGATGCCGCATTTTCCCCATCTACTGTGCTGAAACAGATCCATGATGGAATCTCTACATTTTCTTCATCCAGCAACTCAATCAATGCCTGCCATTCATCATGCTCAATATTTCTTTATTGATTTTCCAAATGCGACACAGATGAGTGTTTAATCTCTACCTTTCTTTTGAATTATCTTATACATTAATGACAAATTCATCCTGTATCATTTTTTTTAAAATTACGTATATATTTTCTTTGAAATTACCAAATTTTTTCTCGAATATCGAAAATTAAACACGTTAACTGTTCGTTATCAGGTGTTCCTGGGCACATAAGAAAAATCATGAACTTGATGAAAAGATGATAAAACAGTCTTCCTTTGGCTTCTACCTGGGCTTCAAGTTTATTCGGAATGGTCTCAAACGCCAACAAATCTGCCCCTGCTTCCACAAGCACTTGCAGTCTCCTCCTATGGAAATCCTTCAATTTCTCAAGGCTCACATCTGCTCCATATTTTCCACTGAGAAGCATGGGGAAGCACAACACAACAATTAGGCATCATAAGTCCACCAAATTATTAAGATTTGTTAGCTCATGAGAAGGGTCAGCCAAAAAGGATGAGTAGTTCTTTTTTTTTTTGGAAAGGATGAGTAGTTCTAAGTTTCTTACGCATATATGTGAAATATTACTATACAGTCAATATAGTCACTGGAAATACTATCAGATTCACTGTCAAGTAAAATTGAACACTATCATGGTGAAAGTACTACGCGCTATAATTCATAGGTTTTAAAACTCATTCTTTTGCACAGTATCCTTACAATAGTCGTAGGTATATCATCATACTATAACAACATATAAATGATTTATATTATGAATGAATGAATCAAGTAGAGACAGTACCGGTATTCCGAACCATCAGCAAGATAAGCTCCATAGCTTCCAATTGAGGCTGCCACTAGAGCCCTGTTATATCTATGTTTCTCATTTCTTCTCACAGATTCCCAAAACTCATCCCGGGCTTCTATAGCTAACTTTACACTATCTTTCAGTAGTGATTCGCCATCTGCTAACGAAATCCCCCTTGACAAGAATCCAGGCAGAGTGGCCTGTTGTAATCACAGCCACAGATCATTCTTAAATTTGTTTTCAGACAAGTCATTCTTAAGTGGCTTCAACCAACTCTAGAAACAATCAAACAAATCATGATAAACAATTCATCTAACCTGATAAGATGAAGTCACTAATACATCCGCCCCCGCTTGTAAGTATTCCAAATGTACCTGACAGCGTTTTAACCCCATCAATTCCCAAGAGGTACAACTTGTAAGCATTATGTTCTATGGTTTGTAACTAGTGATGGCAACGGGGCGGATCGGGGACGGGTACACATAAAACCGAAACCGCCCCGTTGGATACAGTGGCGGATCCAGGAATAAATGTTATTGGGGGCATCATTTAAAAGGTTTAGTTAGTCAAATATTAGGGTGTTTTTACTTGGACTGTTTTCAGTTCCAGACCAGATCAGAATAAGCTTAAACATACTAGACCTGACTTTTCTAGTTATAAAATACACAAAGACCAGGCATTTAGCAGACTAGACCAGATCAGATCACACTTAAACAGACTAGACCAGACGAGACCAACAAATTTTAGTCCAAGTAAAAACATCCTTATTCAAATAAAACTTTTTTTAGTTAATACGGAGTACTTTTTATATTTTAAATATTAAGCTCAATATACACACACACACATATGCATTTATTTACAAAATAATTATGTATTTATGACTAAAATAAATGTACTTTACAAAAATGTGACATCTTAATTATATTGACTATAATAGTAGCTTTAGTCATAGTAACAAATGGTCATTTTTTACACTTAAGTAACCATGACTTTATATACTCATAGTAATGTTTTTAAGGAGGAAAGTTACTCTTAAAGCTTATTTCCCAACTAACAATCGAGTTATAAAAAATATTCCTTCGATCATTTAGGATATATGTTTATAAGTATATTTAATTTAAAAATAAAAATCAAGAGTATAATCTCCTAAATAATTCCCATAGCAATTTTAGTGCCATACTATATGCAAACATTAAACACTAAAGAGGAAAGAGTCAAAGGCTAATAAAAACGAAGCCCAACAAAAAATGAAAATTCTTTAATTCACTCGCTTCTTTTGGATAATTGGTTTGATGAGCTGTTTTTCATTTCTTTGTAAAATAAGAGTTGGGGGCACTTTCATTTTTTAATTGGGGGCACTTCTTCTTTTTTGTATTAAAGTATAGCTTATTATAATTAAATTTCAGACTCTTATTGGGGGCAGGTGCCCCCATTGTGTTATGTGTACATCCGCCCCTGGTTGGATATATGTTTGCCCCAAAACCGCCCCATTACCCGTTCGGGTAATTTTTATTTGAACCGTACCTGCCCCAACGGGGAATCGGTTTATCCACGGGTAACCGTTTCCCCAAATGGTACCAAATAACCAAATTTTTTGGAAAACAAATAACCAATTTTTAATCCTACTTGTTATTTATACTACTATATTCAAAGCACCCTGAAACATACAAAAGTAAACATTTAAGCAAGCAAGCAGACTGACCTAAATTCATTAGTATGACAAGCACCTAATATCTCTTGTAGCATAATAAAAAAGTAGTAATCACCCCAGAATCCAAATTCCAAAAACAGGTTTAGGTCTATATTTAGTTTTAGGCCTAAAGAAATAGTATACTTTTTAAGTTTTTAGCATTATTTATATGATATATCTACTATTTAGTATACACAATTTAGCATATATACTTATTATTCTTATATATAAAAAGTTATAATTCATTAATAATGTTACGGATCGGGTAACGGTGCGGGTACCCACACCATTAGTTAACGGGACGGTTTCGGGGCGGATAACGGGGGCGAATTAGTATAGAACCATAACCGCACCATTAACCATTTAAAAAATTCGGGTATCCCAAGTCCCGTACCCATTCCACAGTCAAACCGGTTTTCCCCAGTTTGATCAAATCGGTTTGGTGCGGGTATCCAACGGGTCAGCCGAAATTGCCATCTCTATTTGTAACTGTATATTAAAGCTTTTTCTCATATGACATTCTACAACATTGTGCATTCTAGTACCAATACTAATAATTACACTTCTCATATTTTGTTTCATGGTATTTTTAACCTCGACTCATCCCGGAAACATACAAATAGAAATTGCCCTGAATAGGAATTAAACATTTTTATTCCCTAAACTAGAGTAATTTTTGTTATGTTTGGAAAAACTGCCATTTTAAAAACCTCCTAATGCCAAACTTGGCAAAAAATATTCCTATTAAGGAATAAAAACATGACAATCTTATTTTTGGAATTTCAACACTTTTTTACTCCTATTTAGGAAATTTTCCCAAACATAGAAATTAGGGAGTATATTATAGAACTACTTTGAAGCATGTAAAAGACTACCTAACCAAATGTATAAAACAAATTCTACTTTTATTTGATTTATTTAACTTCATTTCTTGAAATATTGTCCAGAGCTTCTTCTTGTATCAAATTTATACATCAATTAGCACTCTATCCATGAGGCTTGAGACCTGAGAGTTGAGAGGACTTAGCATGCCTCTAAATGGGATCTCCACGTGTTCTTTTTGAAGCCATTGTAATGGTTCCATTATTATATTGAGATTTAGGATTCAGTCTTACATTCGTAAATAATTGGAATTGTTGGAAAAAATAAAATTGGTCGCAATAAACAAAACTAAAATGGTATACCAGTTTGATGAGATCAGGACTTTTGATAAGGCAAAGAGCGCTCCAGAGAGGGTCATTAATGGAGGCGCCGTGGAGCTCAAGCTGGGTGGCGAAGCCGCCGTCTACAACGGCGCAACCACCGGATTTCTCTATAATATTTAGCAGCATTGCCTTTCCTTTCTCAATCCCCATTTGGTTGACTTGTTGAGATTTGAAAATGACTGAGAGTCGAGAATCATTTCATAGGAAAAGCTAAAGCTTTGTAGGAGCCCGTCTCCAATGAACCTGCCTGGTTTATCGGCCATAATTGGTGTTTGCTCACCCTTTAGACGAAGTAATGATGATATATTCATACTTTACTATTCTACTGGTGCAGAAAGATAAGAAGCTATGCGTCATTTGAATTCCAATATGCGGACTATCCTTTACCAAGAACCCCTTGTTAGCACCAAAATGGGCTATTTGGGCTGATTCTGCTAAAATTTATGAAGTCATGGCTGAAGTATTTGTATCGGCTGATTTTGTTGATTTAAGAAAATATTACTTTTAAAATATATATGTTATTGATAAAATAAAGAAAAAAATATATGTTAAAATAACTAAAATGCTAATCCACAGTAACTTCAGCCAATATGGCCAAAAAAGTAACTCTAACCTTACATTTTCTACTTATTACACAATTCAGCGCGCGAAAGCAAAAATTACGTGTTTGATAAAAATGTTGACTGATAAACCTGATAAGTCGAAAATAAGTGTTGCCAAACGGCCTCTAATGCTTTATTAGGCAATTAAACCTCACATTCCACTCCCCGAATTGCCAGTTTGACCCGATAAACCAAACCAGCCCAAATCGTTAGGACCCGATTCAGATCTAACATTATTCAACTTCGCCCTATAATCCAGCACTATTAATATGTTCACTAGGCAAAATTTTTCTTAATTAAAATATTTCTTTTATTATTATACATTAATTTTTTGTTGAATGTTTTTTTGTGAATAGTTATGATTTTAAAAGGCACATAATCCGATGTAAAATATATAAGTTTGGAATTTAATTTTTTTCTCGCTAATTTAGGCTTAGTTTTGAAAATAATAACTGAAAGATATAAAAATATTATTTCAATTATGAGATCTTAATTTTAGCACTTACTTCAACTTTAAAAAAAATTAAACTTAAAAAATCTCCAACACATGAAATTTAATATTGTTTTTTAAATTTTACATATACTATATTGGTGTCATATGAGAAATCATAAGAAATTATGAATTTTGATATCATTTTAAAAATCTGGAATACAAATAAAAAGTTATAATACATTAGAGAAATTTGGGAACTTTATTTTCTTTGGCCCCACGTTTATGGAACCTACATACGAGGCTTCTTGCTCACCTTCATCTCTCTCGGTGAACGAGCCACCTAATTCCCCCTCTATGGGTGTCATCTTGCCGTTATAGCAACTCTAAATACAAAACATTTAACGAGTAGGTTGTGTGCTCTTGATTTCATCCGGCTCAATTAAGAAAAGTACTCGTATTAACTATTTCAATTTAATTAAAGTAGTACTAAGTTAAAATATAATTTGTGGTTTCTATATGGACGCATTTTAACTTTCAATTTTAAACAAGTAAGATGAACTTAGACAAAGGTCTTTCTAAGTACATGTATATATTTCTACATAAATTTTTTACTCAGATTTTTTATTACTGATTTAAATAATTAATATGTTTAACTCTCAAACTTATAGTGTCTTATACTTCATTGTTTCATAAAACTTGGTCATATTGACTTTATTGATCAATGATGATCAAGTTTGATCATTGATATTTTTAATATATACAAACTTATTTAAAACATGAAAATTATATGAAAATTTTATTTGTTAAAAGGGAAAAACGTCACATAGGGCTCGAACTTACATAAAAAGGTCAAATAAGGCCTTATATAGGAGGCTCTGTCCGGTCGACGTCATTTGAGGTGGTTTCCGGTGGAATTTTTTTATGAAATTTGTTGAGCATCTTATTCATTAAGTCTAGTTACTCATACTAAATTTGAATTAAAACTTCAATCAGGAAGGCATTCAAATGAATTCTTGAAGGTAACTGCGCAGTTAAAAGCACAGTTATCTTCAAGAATTAATTTGAATGTCTTCCCGATTGAAGTTTTAACTGAAATTTGGTATGAGTAAACTAGACATAATGAATAAGATGCTAAAAAAATTTCATCAAAAATTTCCACCGGGAACCACCCCAAATGGAGACGGCCGGACAGAGCCTCCTATATAAGACCTTATTTGACCTTTTTATGTAAGTTCGAGGCCCTATTTGACCCTTTTCCCTTGTTAAAAATATTTTCATAAAAGTATTAAAGTTATTAACTTCTCACAAATATAACAACCAATGTCCTAAAATGCACTAGGCTTCAATCGGATGCCCGTCCAGCGGCTAGCGCCTGGCCGAGAACTAACCTGGCACATTTATGAAATTTTTACTGTTTTCTATTTAAACAACATGTAAAATCATTCATATGTGTCATGTTAGTTCTCGGTCAGGCGCTAGCCGTTGGACGGGCACCCGATTAACGCCTAGTGCATTTTAGGACATTGGTTGTTATATTTGTGTGAAGTTAATAATTTTATAGTTTTATGAAAATATTTTTAACACAAATAACATTTCCATATAATTTTCATATTTTAAATAGTTTTTTTTTTTGTTTTTTTACTCCAGGGGGTCTTTGGGATACTGGAGTAATCAGGGCTGAACTCGAGACATTTCGCTAGGCACGGTAACCTTACAACCAGCTGTGCTGGAATGTTTGGTTTATTTTAAATAGGTTCGTATTAAAAATATCAATGATCAAACTTGTCCATTATTGATCAATAAGTCAATATGACCAAGTTTTATGAAACGATGTAGTATAAGATTGAAAATTATATTAAACATATTAATTATTTAATTTCAAAAATAAAAACCGGAATAAAAAATTTATGTAGAAATATATACATCTACTGATGTACTTAGAAAGATCTTTGTCAAAGTTCATCTTATTTGTTTAAGATTGAAAGCTAAAAATGTGTACCATATAGAAACCACAAATTATATTTTGAAACTTAGTACTTCTTAATTAAATTGAAATAGTTACACGGAGTACTTTTCTTAATTGAGCCGGCTGAAATGAGCTACGTGCTCAATAAAGAGCACGCAACGTGCTCGTTAAATTTTTTTACTCTCCTAAATACATGGATTGCATCAAATTTGGGGTTGAAAATCTGAGATTTGGATATTCACTTAGTGGGTTGTGGGTAGCCTCGTGGTTTAGTTCCTATTTTTTAATAGCGGTTTGGTTCTCTATTCCTATGAAAATATATATACAAAACTGTTAAGAAGTCGCTATATACTTTGTGATAATTAAGTTTTTATGTATTACTTATTACTCTGTAGTATTTAATTATTTATATATATTAATGTTTATTTATAGATAAAATTCACTAATTGAGTTTAATTAATAGAGTTCATAATTTGATATGTATAGGTACTTAACCAATTTCTCTTCTTGCGAATGTCTTTCTCTTGTTTTCTTTACTAAAAATTTTAACTTGTGATAAATTTGTGTAACGTAAAGACATTCAAGGTTTGAATCATAACTTTTAATTTTTACAAGAATTTCTGTTTGAAATGATGCTAACCTTGAACGTGTTTGTATTTTTTATAATTTCAACCGTTGAATGTCTTTATACTAGTATGACATACTTAACGGTGATTTGCTGGAGATTTTAAAAAATTAGGAAAAGAAAAATTACTAGAACCGAACCGTTAATGGTTGATTCGGTTCCATATTGTTTCTAAAAATAACTTATAAGAATCGAACCAATATTAAAAGTTGAGATATTTTAATACTGCTATAGTTGGCACATTGAGTTGTAGCTAGATTTTATCGACATTGCTCTTTTAACCCTGCGCCCCCCACCACTTCATCTTTTTTATTTTCACCTTGAATATCTCAAAGTCACCAATAAGTACTCAGCACGTACGTTCCTTCTTCTTCCCCTCTCTGATTTTCTTTCTTCATAAACCCTTTAACCCATATCTATTTGTAGCCATGTGTTTGTTAATTTTTTAGTTTTGTTTAATAATTTGTAGCCATCAATTTTTAGGGTAATAATTATTATTGTCCCTGAGTTTTTCTTGCTTCTTAGCTTTGGTTTAATACAGATGCCGTTTTGGTTGTATTTTCTGTGTTTATTTCCTTGTTTTTTCCTAGCTTTTGTGTATCCATATCTGTTTCTTTTTTCAGTTTTTACTGTAACTTTTATTAAGCAATGTTTTTACTACGTTTTCCTTTCTGTTTTCACCAAATATTTTCTTTTTTTATGTCTACGTTTTAGTTTATTTGATATAATATGCTTCAGTTTTTTTTCCTAATTTCTTTATGTACATGTGTTATGTTTTTATGAGTTATCACGTTTTTGCTGTTACTTTTTATTGTGTTATTTAACTAATACGTAGTAATATTTAAGCATGCCCTTAATTGTAATTTAATAATTTCAGCTACTTAGAACAGTTAATTTTGCCAAACATAACTATTTAAAACAGACACTTTTAATGAAACAGCTACAGTCTTTTCTATCTGCAAGTTTATCGGCTCAAAAAAGCTAACAGATACTAAAAAGTCTAAAAAAGATCTTTTCAGCTTGACAGGCCAAACATACCCTTAATGTTTGAATTAAGAGCTTTTGCCTGAATCAGATACTATTGTTTGAAATTGAATTTTAAAGTATTGAATTTAAACTGGTAGTTGAATAAAGTAGTCCCGTTTGGTGAAACAACTAAAAAATGCTCGAAAAATATGAAATTACATCTAAGGTAAAATGATTTATTAATAGAAAAAGAAGTTATTGTAATGTTTTTATACTTAAGTTAATATTAAGATGGTAGTATATGTATTTTTTAATACTAAGTATGTATTTATATGTTTGTCTATATGTATTAATAATAAATTTTTTTTGTTGAGAAAATATATTTTACTGGAGAAAAGATGTATGTGTGTGTACACACTCTGTGTATATGTGTGTGTGTGTGTGTGCGCGCTACTTACGTGTATACTTAGGTGAGTGTTAAAATACCTCACAAATAAATGAGAGTATCAGACCTATAATGCATTTGACTGGTTCAAGTCATTATCGTAATATTTAAATATTTCAATGGCGATATATATTCTAATCGGTCCATATACACAAGGTACGGACCGTACGGTACCTTGAGAGTACCATAAAATTTTCCTATAACGTAATCTAAATTTGTTTAGCTAATGTCTCAAACAAACTATTGATAGTATGTGGAAGATATTACTTTAATCCAATCCAACAAGAAAATGTGGACCACATATAACAGTTAAATAATTGCGAATAAACACTTTATCAATACAATATTATAATTTGTATGTTACATGTACGACTATAGCGGACACACACACATGTGTGTAAGCATGTTAGGCCCATTTTATTAACTTATGCCCTACAATATATACAATTAAACCGGGTATTGGTGAATACAGTCAGCCCACGGACTGCCTGGCACGGGTGACTTTATGGTCCGAATGCACTTCCAAATAGCACTGTTGCACTTAAACCCGCTCCCAAACCCAATCTGCCATACTTTGTCCCCTTTTTTCATTTTCCCTTTCGCCTCAATGTAACTCAACTCGTACCATAATGAAGACGATGACGTGTTCCCGAACCGGTGTAACGTCATCCTTGACGGCTCCACATTCTCGTCAGAGAGGTCTAGTTTCTTCTGCACACTATCTATGACGGCTCGCCCACCCGCGTGGATGCAAAAGTGGTCCACAGCCCGTCTGTAATTGGGAACGAAGGCGGGTTTCTTGAAGAGCTTGGTTGCTATAAGGGAGAAGAAGTAGCGTATTTTCTCAGACACGGGTAGAAGAAGAGGACTTGCGGCGGTTATGTTTGTTTTCATGGCCTTCGCGGCGACCTCCGGCAGGTCCCTGCTCAGGTTTATCCCTACGAAACCTTCCGGATCTTCCTCCTGGACTATGCATTTGAAGGCATCATCTGTTTGTCCCATGTGTGTTCTCACAACGTGAAGAAGCCGATACTTGGCCAGACTGCGGTCTCGCCAGTGGTTTGACAACAGAACCGCTGCTCCTCCCATCCTGAACAGACAGTTTGGGAGAAGCTTGGATCTTTCTTTGCCCACATATGAGCATTGTGTGACAATCTCTGTGCTTATAACAATGGCTTTCGAGTTCGGGTACGTAAGAAGCAAATCTCGGGCCAAATCGAGGGATATGAGGCCCGCGCTACAACCCATCCCGGAGAGATTGAAGGTCTTGATGTCATTCTTGAGCTTGTACTTGTTAACCACCATGGAAGAGATGGAAGGAGTGGGAGAGAACACTCCACAGTTAACTATAAGCATATCGATTTCGTTCACATCGATGCCTGTCTTAGCGAGAAGATTGTCCATGGCTGAGAAAATGACCAACTCAGCTTCTTCCATGGGCAACTTCAAGGTCATAGCATTAATAGGGATGTAATGTAGGGGGAGTGGAAGGCAAGTCCGCTCTCCAATCCCAGAACGTTCCATGATTTGTTTCTGAAAGGCAACACTCTTAGGATTGTTAGAAAAGAGGATTTGGGCGTGCTCCATGAAGGTGGCTAAGGGGACTCGGTAATTGTCCGGAGGTTTGAAGCAGGCAAACTCAATGAGATACACAGAAGGGGTTCTAGTGAGTAGGTGGTAGCAAAACAGTATGAATAATATTATGGAGATGATGGGAAGTTGAAGAGAAGTGCCAGTTGTGGTGCCAAGGATGAAGGCAATAAAAAAGCTCACAAGACCATAGTAAAAGACTATATTCATTGTGTTGGAAATTAAAAGTCGATCTGTTTTAGATGTATGTTTCCCGGCGGGGTTAACAAGTTTTCACCTTATTTGTAATTAGCTTATGTTGTGTGGAGACATAGAAATGCATGCAGTATGGTTTTATAGGGAAAGAAAACCAATGCTAATGCATGTACGTATTGTCTTTCTACATGCGAATGGTGATGGATCTAAAATTTATTTGTTCGTACAAATTTTAAAAAATCCTAAAAACACTTTAACATTGGAATGTGAGGTAATTCAAACAATATTGGTCCATCTAGTGACCAAGCCAAAGTCACAAAGAACCTGAATGATTTCGTAATATAAATTTATACATGTTGATAATAATTAATGTTACATTACCCACTTCCAAATGAATCATTATCTCGTAACTGATTAGTTTATTCAAATTAAAAACACTTTCTTTAATTTAGTGAACATGTGAATGGTGATGGATCTAAAATTTATTTGTTCATACAAATTTTAAAAAATTCTAAAAATGCTTTAATGTTATGGAATTTGAGGTAATTCAGACAATATTATTGGTCCATCTAGTGACCAAGCCAAAGTCACAAAGAAGTTGAATGATTTCGTAATATAAATTTATACGTTTTGATAATAATTAATGTTACATGACTCACTTCCAAATTAACCGTTATCTCATAACTAATTAGTTTATTCAAATTAAAAACACTTTCTTTTTTTAATGAACACTTTCATGATCCTGCCACACATGGAGTTATCAATTAATATGAGTCTTTACATTGATGAGTACTTGATTTTGTGACGTATTATACAAATATACATAGTGGTGATTATATTGTTAATTCATATATGTGATGTGTAACTCATATCGTAATTCATATTGTTATTATCTAACATCATTTCTTATCGATCTCACTTCTATGCACTATGCACTTCTAACAACTTAATGTTTCAATAGACAGGAATTACAATATATAGAGGATATATATGTACTAAATACTAATAATTAGTCGAGTATAATTCAACTACACATGTTCTATTTTTTAAAAAATAATTTATCAATTAGGGGCTCGGGTCAAAATTATCAAACTCATACGGTCATACTAACACACAATGATATATATCTTTGACCACCCTTGGATATTTTTTGTAGTCCTAATTATATTTGTAGGCACCTGCAAAATAAAGTTTGATAACCCATTGTTCATTCAAATAATGGTATATCCTTCATCCAACCCCTCTAATTATATTTGTTGCATGTACTCATACTTCTGAATTTTTCATGCTTTGTATGCTTTAAATAAGACTTGGTCTCGTTTTACTTGTACTTTCATCAATTTCCTACAATATATAATTGCGAGTGCGTCTATTTGTGGTAGTGGTTATATTAGTGATGAAATGATTTTCAACTGTTACCCGTAGGATCGGAAGAAGTTGTGTAGACGTGCATGTTTATCTTTGTAGAAGGCAGTTGCATGTTTTTCGTATTGCATGCCATTTCATACTGTCTTCGTCGATGAAATGAAGAGTAATTTAAGCTATTTCGTTATGTTGGTTAAGGGTTTCTCCCTACAAATCTGAAACATTGTCGTGCTTATTTCCATGTTAACGTCATATATCACCTTTGGCCTTTTTATTCATTAGCTTTTCGTTTGAAATTAGTAGGCTCTTAAGTTTATGTCTCCAAGAATTCTCACACAATCTCTATGAGTATATATCATATCATATCATTTGTGTGAAATCGTAAAACAGGAAAATAAGCTAACCCACATGCATTTATCAAATAAATACAGAATTAGAACTTATGTTGAATTCCTAGCTAGTAAATCACCAAATTTAGTGGGTAACTGTGTTGAAGAAAACTTCCTAAAATATTACCTCATCATCCCAAAAAGTATTGCAACTATTTGACTTAACACGCATATTAATAAGGTGAAAATGTGTGATTGTCGTGGTATTAGAGAAAAAGATAATTCATTGTTAGCCAAATCATTCCATAAAATAAAATGGGAATAATTTTTTGGTAGATCCCAAAAAGGGAAAGTGAGAATATTCTTTGGGACACATGGGTGTATTAAAAAAATGGTTACAAAGAGAGAGGGGACAAAACTTTTATAACTTTTTATTTTATTTCAACACGATCATACATCCCAATAGTCATCTCACTTTCCTTTTCGGGATTACTGAAAAATTCTTCTCAGTTCATTCCATTGAATGATTTAACTAATATTCATTTATCTTTTTCTAACTTGATCACAATTATACATTTCCACTATAAAATCACCTTATTAATAAGTGTGTTAAGTCAAATTGGAATACTTTTTGTGAAAGAGAGTAATATTTTGTTAACTATTCTTTAGCACTTACCCGTATAATTTGGTGGTTTGACACATGGATTAAAAAGAGGAATTCAGCATGAGTTCTAAATTTGAGAAATGCATGAGAGTTAGGTTATTCACCTATTTTATGATTGTTATTCACCTATTTTATGATTGTCTTATCTTATCCATATTTTTTTCACACAAAAGGCATGATGTATACTCATAGAATCGTTTGAGAATTCTTGGAGACATTAACTTAAGAGAAATACTAATTTCAAACGAAAAGCTAATGGATAAAAAGGCTAAAGACAACATATAGTGTTAGCATGTAAATCAGCACGGCAATGTGTCAGATTTGTAGGGAGGAACCCTTAGCAAACGTAACGAAATAGCTTAAATTACTTTTCATCTTCAACGAAAACAATATCAAATAACACGCAACATTGTATTCCATCTGCTTTATACAATGATAAATACACAACTTCTTCCTACGGGTAACGGTTGATTATCACTAATTTACCCACTACCACGAATAGACGCACTCACAAATATATATTGTAGGTAACTGGTGAAAATACAAGTAAAACATGATCAAGTCTTACTTAAAATATACGGAGCAGGATATATATATCCTGTTGGAAAAATGTGTTAGAAATTGCATTAAATGGGAAATTTGGGGCAATATTTTGAGTGGGGTCTAATTCTGATTTGGGTCAGGTCAGTGATATCGGATTGTCCTTGTTAAGGGCTACAATTCGATATAAGGTACACTCAAAAAGGGTAACGGGTGAATGAAAAATTGATTCTCGAAGTTCACTCTTTGAAACGGAAAAAACTAGGAAAGATGGGTTTCAAGTGTGATTTTTTCCCACATCGGAAAACCCAAGGGATTTTGAACCCCTTATAAAGGGAAGCCTCTTTTAAGGAGTTAAAGATTCTTAGGTGGAAAGACTCTCTTTGCGCCGGGGGGGGGGGGGGGGGGTGCGAATCAATTAATCCCAAAAACAGAGAAGAAAAACCGCGACTTGAATGAGACTAAAGCCCATAAGTTGAAAAGTTCTATAGTGGATACCCAACCTAGTTGGTCCTAGGTTCAAAAGGGACATCTAAACTATAGAGTGAAGGATGGTCACTGTGGGGGTCCCGGACTCCTAACCACTCCTCGATGAAACAATGACTCCTGCACGAGGTTAGCAAAATTGTTTGCGTTAATGATTTTAAAATGTTGATCTACTCGATAACATTGGAAGAGTATACCCTTTCGAAATACAATGAAAATGCAAGAGAAAAGTCAAAACGAAATTGGGGGGGGACCAAACCTTACCCAATTTAAATACATCAAAACAGAAATTAAAATACATCAATTAAGAAATTTAAAAGAAGGAATTCCATAAAAGTCCATGAAATAGGCCCGTCTTGCAGATAAAGGAAGAGAAAAAACTTTCATGCCCAACACTCTTTTAATACTTCTGCTCCTTCTTTCTGCTACTTTTACCACAGACAACTGTGCTTTTGTCAATATTCACAGTCTGGCCAGATGCTGCTTGGTAAGATTCAATAAAATTTTTGAATCTAGTAAGAGACCTGCTCTCTCCATTAAGAAAAACTAACAAGTCATCAGCAAATCCTAAACGAGATATAGGATAGCCATGCCTGCCCATCCAGTAAGGTTTAAGAATGCCTTGCTCCATCTATCAATTCAAACCTCTAGAAAAGACCTCTGATGTGATTATAAATAAAAATGGGGATAGAAGGTCCCCTTGTTTTACACCTCTCAAAGGTTTAAAATAACCTTGTGGCACACCATTAACTAGAAATAGATAGATAAGTGGACTTAAGATTATTCATTATGAGCAGATTAAAATGGCCAGGAAACTCAAACCTTTTAAGAACATCAGAGAGAAAACTCCAGGATAGGGGTAAGGTGCCCCTTACCCCTATAGTAGATATGCCCCTGTATGCACGGGTGGGTTACAGGTATATGCACATATATACGGAAACTGAAAAAACGTAATATACAGAAACTGAAAAGACATAATTATAAGCAACATTTTAAGTATATGTTTTATAGTTAATAAACAGTTTTTTTGAAAGATAATGAGCAGATTTTTAAGCGAACTATATATCTATTGTTTTATATAGTAAAACAAAGTTAGAAACGACTGACATGTCACTCTTTTATTGGTTAACAAATGTTATATTATCACTTCTATTAAAACACATAATTAGTTCTAAATAAAAAAGGAGATAATACGGCACAAAGAAAGGAGAGAAAAATAGGAGAAAAGAGTGCAAGGAGCAAAAGTAGGAAAAAAAGTGCTAAAAATTAAAACATTAAAACTTTTAACAAATTTGGAAGGGTTAAGTTGGCAAAATGTGTATAGAAGGACTAATGCAAAAGACTTAAGAAAACACTAGTGTAAAGCCCGTGGAATGCCCCATTACACTATTGTGAATTTGTATAGGATCCAAGTTGAATATAATGAACCAACTACATAAATTTGTATTTTTTTAACTAGTTATTAAATTATCCATCATCACATTATATATATATATATATATAGATTTTGGTTCAAATGAGAACGAGTCTTAACGTGAGTACGTGAGAACACATCCTGACCATCTATTAATATACGCCATCTGCGATCAAATGAAGTTAACAAAAGGGCATTTAAGTATTTTGCTAATGGCCGTTTTTGTAACCCATGATCTTAGCCGTAATTTTCGTCCGTTCCACTTGCAAAAATTGAGTTCCATTCCATATTATTAAATAAAGCATTTCAACCGTTC